TAGCCAGGAAAGCGAGGTGTTTAAAGCCAGCCATTTTTTTTACACGAGAACGGATTAATCATTTTTACATTACTTCTTATGGGAAAGGTTGGTTTGGTATACGTCCAATTCGGTATAAGTCCAAACATCAGGAACAGATTAAGGTCGTATACCGACGTTCCACTGTATACCAACACAATATACATAATTATATTGACAGAGTGTACGTTACATATTATATTTTACTGCATTACTTTTTATCATATATTTCCATGCTGATGGTAACCTTTGTGGTTTAAATATTTGCCATTAAGGCTGGATCTATATATTTCAAACTTTTCTACAGTTATTGCTATAGACGGTGAGCACACCAGTCTAACAATCCTAGCCTCATTCCATTCAACAACCAAACCCTCTGTTTGTGCTACTGTGGATAGTGCCGTAGTATAGTGCCCTGTGTTTACATTGTATTGATATATATGCTCTTTAAGCCTTTTGCTGAAATTCCTTGTGGTTACACATATATATTCTTTGTTCAGGTCTAATTAATCATTTTTTATATGGTATCTTGTATACCCCAGATTGTTCTTCCTTTTTGATCGTATTGTTGTCATTTCTAAGCAAATTATAAACCATGAGAACCCTTTTGTATAATAATCTTGTATTTTTGTAGTCTGCCATTTCTTTCATGATATTGGACATTCCTCTGTTGTAAGTGAATTTAGTAACTTCTTTGTTCATACTTCACTTACAACAGAGGAATGTCCAATATCGTGAAAGAAATTGCAGACTACAAAAATACAAGATTACTATACAAAAGGGTTCTCATGGTTTATAATTTGCTTAGAAATGACAACAATATGATCAAAAAGAAAGAACAATCTGGGATATACAAGATATCATATAAAAATGATTAATTAGGCCTGAACAAAGAATATATAGGTGTCACCACAAGGAATTTCAGCAAAGGGCACTATACTACGGCACTATCCACAGTAGCACAAACAGAGGGTTTGGTTGTTGAATGTAATGAGGCTAGGATTGTTAGACTGGTGTGCTCACCATCTTTAGCAATGACTGTAGAAAAGTTTGAAATATATAGATCCAGCCTTACTGGCAAATATTTAAACCACAAAGGTTACCATCAGCATGGAAATATATGATAAAAAGTAATGCAGTAAAATATAATATGTAATGTGCACTCTGTTGATATAATTATGTATATTGTGTTGGTATATTTGTATTTTATTTTATTTCATGTATTTTAATTAGTTCAATATAACATATTTATACTATTTGTTACATTTTTGATATATTTGATATTTCAATGAGATGTTCAAAACAGTTATAAAAAATTTGAATATTTTTTCACATAATCATTCGAACCTGAAACCAATACAAAAAATGTTCCAGAAAATTCAAAATACCTGAAGATGGCCTGTAGATCAGGTTGAAAACGTTTGTAAAACACATCAATTGAAACCTGATATCTTAAGCAAATACACCTACAACTGTCATAAATGATTGGGCTAAATTTTGGATAAATGATTATAGGTTAGAAATGAATTTGGCACTAGAGTGAGGCATTAGGTGCATCTCTTATTAAAATTAATAATTATAATATTTAATTAATTACAGTAGAGCATCGATTAACCGTCACATCAGTTAACTGACCGTTCTAGTCGGCAAATTTCAAATGTCCACTAGTGATGTGGCACTACAATATTTGGCTATGTCTTGACTACTTTAATATTATTTTTGTTAAATTTTTGCATGTTTTAGCTGGCAACATGGCTCGACCATTGAAGGGAGGCCAGTATTTAAACGAGACTTAATTTTCTAATTATGAATGGTTATTTGTTTTGTGAGCAATAAAATAATTTTTAACGATACAATAGCAATGATTATTATTAAAAAAAAATTTTTGTTAGGCTTAACATTGATGAAAATTCAACACGAAGTTGGTTAATAGCGATATACTAATATACTATACTAATAATGTATTTTTTTCAGTTATTCGACCAACCTGAGTCCCCAATTGAGTCAGATAATGATTAAACTGGAAGAAAAGAATTGGCCCAAAGCGGGACTTGAACCCGCAACTCCTGCTTACCGTGCGGACACATTTCCATTTACGCTACCTGGACCTTCAGTCTGATCTTCTCTTCAGCATATATAAGTTAAGATATAACTGTTGATGGTTATTATGGCGCCGACACAATTGTGCCCTCAGCCAGAAACATCCACTGAAGTCACTGAGTTGGCCATGCAACCCTGGCAAGGTATAGAGATATACAGGGTGCATAGGAAAGTCCTTTTAACCAGAAAATTCTTGCGAACGGAGAGAGCTACAGCTATGCAAGTGAGGTAACGGTGTAGTAAAGCAACTACGCCCAACCTAACGCAAACAACAGCAGCGCCCCTAGTGGCAAAATTTGGATGATAGGCAGTGCAAATCGAAAATGAAAACAGATAGAACAAACTCCCCAATTAGAAAGTTTTAGAGCATCAATTAATTAGTACGAAAAGACATGTGGTTCACATGGATAAGATAAATTGTCGCCTTTATACCCAAAAATGTCCGAAAGCGATGCACGCCATTTTGTGTAAACGTTTGAAAGGAATAGCCATAGGTATGAAGAAATACACACAATTTATTGCCTAAAATACATACTGTAGTTATGTCATATACAGTTTGATAACATCACATAAAAAAACAATGGAAAGGCAAACTGTCACACAGTGATAACAAGTTAATGTCGAGTATGTTTGAAAAGTTTGCCATTTCTCATGATACTTCAATATAGTTTGATAATAATGGTGTGTATCATGAGAAATGACATCCAAATTTTGCCACTAGGGGCGCTGCTGTTGTTTGCGTTAGGTTGGGCGTAGTTGCTTTACTACACCGTTACCTCACTTGCATAGCTGTAGCTCTCTCCGTTCGCAAGAATTTTCTGGTTAAAAGGACTTTCCTATGCACCCTGTATATCTCTATACCTTGCCAGGGTTGCATGGCCAACTCAGTGACTTCAGTGGATGTTTCTGGCTGAGGGCACAATTGTGTCGGCGCCATAATAACCATCAACAGTTATATCTTAACTTATATATGCTGAAGAGAAGATCAGACTGAAGGTCCAGGTAGCGTAAATGGAAATGTGTCCGCACGGTAAGCAGGAGTTGCGGGTTCAAGTCCCGCTTTGGGCCAATTCTTTTCTTCCAGTTTAATCATTATCTGACTCAATTGGGGACTCAGGTTGGTCGAATAACTGAAAAAAATACATTATTAGTATAGTATATTAGTATATCGCTATTAACCAACTTCGTGTTGAATTTTCATCAATGTTAAGCCTAACAAAAATTTTTTTTTAATAATAATCATTGCTATTGTATCGTTAAAAATTATTTTATTGCTCACAAAACAAATAATCATTCATAATTAGAAAATTAAGTCTCGTTTAAATACTGGCCTCCCTTCAATGGTCGAGCCATGTTGCCAGCTAAAACATGCAAAAATTTAACAAAAATAATATTAAAGTAGTCAAGACATAGCCAAATATTGTAGTGCCACATCACTAGTGGACATTTGAAATTTGCCGACTAGAACGGTCAGTTAACTGATGTGACGGTTAATCGATGCTCTACTGTAATTAATTAAATATTATAATTATTAATTTTAATAAGAGATGCACCTAATGCCTCACTCTAGTGCCAAATTCATTTCTAACCTATAATCATTTATCCAAAATTTAGCCCAATCATTTATGGCAGTTGTAGGTGTATTTGCTTAAGATATCAGGTTTCAATTGATGTGTTTTACAAACGTTTTCAACCTGATCTACAGGCCATCTTCAGGTATTTTGAATTTTCTGGAACATTTTTTGTATTGGTTTCAGGTTCGAATGATTATGTGAAAAAATATTCAAATTTTTTATAACTGTTTTGAACATCTCATTGAAATATCAAATATATCAAAAATGTAACAAATAGTATAAATATGTTATATTGAACTAATTAAAATACATGAAATAAAATAAAATACAAATATACCAACACAATATACATAATTATATCAACAGAGTGCACATTACATATTATATTTTACTGCATTACTTTTTATCATATATTTCCATGCTGATGGTAACCTTTGTGGTTTAAATATTTGCCAGTAAGGCTGGATCTATATATTTCAAACTTTTCTACAGTCATTGCTAAAGATGGTGAGCACACCAGTCTAACAATCCTAGCCTCATTACATTCAACAACCAAACCCTCTGTTTGTGCTACTGTGGATAGTGCCGTAGTATAGTGCCCTTTGCTGAAATTCCNATTAAATATTCACTTTGGGCCAACGATTTTCTTCCAGTTTAATCTAAATTAATTAATTAAATATTATAATTATTAATTTTAATAAGAGATGGCACCTAATGCCTCACTCTAGTGCCAAATTCATTTCTAATCTATAATCATTTATCCAAAATTTAGCCTGATCATTTAAAGCAGTTATAGATGTATTTGTTTGTAAAACAATAAGTATTGATTCTCAGAGACATAAGGTGTATGTGTCATAGTAGAATTGAAACTATGAAAATTAACAACTAGGTACTTGTTCTACAATTTAAATGATTTTCCAATGTTATAGTTTTAATTTAAAGTCAATTATATGTTAGTTTTAATTCTATAATCCTTTTATATCAGATATAGTATTTCATACAGCAAACAAATATGCTTAATCCATTGTTATCATATTCTAACTACCCAAGTATAGAATTCTAAAGTATTGATTTAAAGATTATTCAATTTTAGGAATATAGCATATACTCCATTTTGTAGCATATTCCAATATAGTACAATTAAAATTTTATTTACATCACATTGCAAACTTAAAATTAAAAAATTAAAATATGATGTATAAATATAACTATTAATTGTAAGATAATTTAGTGATACACTGCAATAAGATCATATTAAAATACTGTTTAATTATCAGTAATTAATTGCTTTTTCTTTTTTGTATGAAGGATGGGAAAGCGATTCTAGTGATGGACAGTCAGAGAAATGTCCAATATGTCTTAATAAGTTTCTTGGTCAAGATATTGGTAATCCTGAAAGTTGTGACCACTACTTTTGCTTGGACTGTTTATTAGAATGGGCAAAGGTATATTTTTATTTAATTTTATATGTATTTGAATAGAAATATAAACTTTTATTTAAATATTTTTTCATTATCGACCAAATTTAAATGTTCTGAATCTTCACAAAGCTGGTTATAGACTATTAAATAACACCATAAAACCTTCAAAAAATATCAGATATCAGCACAAAAATATAGTTAAAATAAATAGGTTGTGACAAGCATTTTGATCCAATTAGGATCTGCGTCAGGTCAAAAATGTTCAAATGAATTAGAATGCAGGACTTTCAAGTTTAAATATTTTAAAATCATCAGAACTGTAAACCTTATAACCAGTATACACACCTAAGTGTTAACATTAACGCTAAAATTAAAATAACAAATTTAAATATAAATAAACAACTTTCCTTAAACATAAGTAATTTTTCACATCTCAAGAATTGATATTTGCTACTTAATGTCATAATTTAAATGAAAAAAAGTCATGTTTACATTGAAAGTACTATTGTAACATACCATGCAATCAAAATTAAGTCCGAAAAAGCAGTGTTACTCAAAATTAGGGTTCTATCAAGTATCAGTTACTTTTCTCACTTATTCACATTGCCATAACTGCTTTAAGACTTGTAGTAATATTCATCAGATAGCAATTAGTAAATTAAAATGATTTTCTTCATATGTAAACACAGTGAGTCTTACACAGATTTGGACATAAGCTAGTTGTAGTTATATAATATCATGATGTGTTTTCAAATAAAAGTGGACAAAATTGATGTGGATAGTGAAGATGATTTCAAAATAAATTCTAGAAAATTGTTTTTACCTCCAGCTTTGTCATTGGGAATAAATAAATTCCATATAGCAATTTATAGCAAGTGAAAAAATATCTTTTTATAATACTTTTTCCTTGCTTTCTGGGGTTTGGATATGTTGCCTTTATTATTTTTTCATGTTTTTCAGTCTCCACCATGTCTGTAGTGTGCACTGTTATCAGAAGGACCAGATCCTTTTTGTCCTTTCATCATAAAAAAAGGACTTTCCTCCTCTACAAGCATAAATTTCTTCCTTCTGCAATTTATAATGTTTTATTAGGGAGGATGGCATGACCTTGCATGCTATTGTTACTATTCTGTACATATCATAAATTTTTGAAATTTGCTTATATAACAAAATCTATACCCAAATTACCTCCAGATTCTCCCCTCATCAACACTGTGGCATCCGTAACCTTTCGACTACTACTAACCTACTTGAAACAACTTATACTATTTTGCAAAATTTTGAGAACAAAAAATCCACCTACATAATTTATATTGACATCTCCCAAGCCTTTGATTCTATCATTCCTAAATTACTACTTCAGACTCTAAGTAATTATTTTGATTTAGATCCCGCTCTTTACTGTTGGTTAAACAATTACTATTTATCCAGACTATGTAAGATTCACATTGGTGACTTTGATTTCTTCCCTTTTTCTCCTATCTGTGGCATACCTCAAGGATCTGTACTAAGCATGCTTTTTTTCTCAGCTTATATAGATAAATTACTAACCAACCACCACTCTAAAGTAATTGCCTACGCCGATGACATCAAAATTTTATCCAATGATCCTTCCTCCCTTCAGATCACTGTCAATTCTTTACGTTCTAATCTTGCCAGTTATAATCTAAAAATCAACATTCATAAAACTGTCATTATGTGTTTTTCTCTACTTCGCAATCCCAACCACCCTTCCATATTTATTGATTCTTCTAAAATAAACTATGTCCAGTCTCATCGTGACCTTGGTATTATATTTGATGAAAAATTAATATTCCATGATCATATCTCTTACATTATTAAATCTCTTGCAATTAGACGTGGCTTTATTTGGCGTTTTTGCAAAAATATCTCTTCAAAGACCGTACTCAGAACAATTTTCTTTACTAATTTTCAATCAATAGTCGATTATTGTTTACCTGTCTGGGCCATGGCTGCCCCTTATCTGATTCAAAAAATACAATCTGAATTAAATAAAGTTTATTTTCTGATACACAAATTCTGCAATTTACCAATTACAAACAACCACGATGTGGCAAGAGTTCGCCTTGGTCTTCCAAATCTTTCTGATCGCTTAAAATATTTTGACCGCATTCTCTGTTTTAAATACTTCAATGGTCTAATCTTCAATTACTGGCTAGGTCTCCGCATCCCTACTGTAAGAACTCGTAATACATCATGCTTCTTCATCCCTTTTTTTCGCCTTTCTCTTTCCCAAAGATCTTTTTTTTACCGTATAGCATCTCACATACAGCCTGTTGAACCTTATCTATATCGTGATTTTAATTTTTTTAAAAATAAATGTAAATCTATTTTATATAATATATAATGTATCTGTTGTCTTACTTAATTTATAATTTTTTTTATTATGTCTGTTATATCTTTTATATTTTGTAATCATTTTATTGGGGATCATTTTTTTTTCTTTGTTATTGGGGGGTGGAATACAATCGTCTCTGACGTTTCCAATTAAATGTAAAAAAGAAAAAGAAAAAAGAAAGAAATCTGTAGAATTTGAAATTAGAAAATCTACCAGCTGTGAGGACATGTAAAAATTGTCCTTTCTCACAAGGAGAGCCTACGGCTTTGGGGGGAACGGATTTTGATGATCTTTGGTGTAGAGGTAGTACACCATGTGAGTGTACTACCTGTAAAATACTAAAGTGCAATACTCAAATATAATCAAGAAAATCGAACTTCGTTTTTTAGCACTTTATATATAAATTATACGTACTTCTATGTGAACGTCCTGTGGCAGAGTGGTAATGAGTCTGATTCATAAGCTTGAGTTCTCGGGTTCGATTCTCGCGTATAATTTTTTTTTTTAATTCATAAATACTTATAATGTATTTATTTATTTACTCATTCATTTATTTCTTATTATTTATTTATTTTAATTTAATTTCTACTATTCCAAGTCTAATATTTTTATACTTTTGTTGACAATAACGGCGCATTCTTGACACCTATGTGTCAACTTTCCCATCTAATTGTTATCACTAACGGTGACCGATCTAATTCTCACTAGGAGCGTTTTTTCTATCGGAGTTCTTTTTCACTCACTCTTTAACAGTTCGTTTCTAAATTTCAACACGAATAGATGTATTTGTGTAGTAAAACTTATTTTGAAAAATTATTTTATAATCAAAAAACATCATCAAGAGAAGCAAGTTCTTCATGTTGTGAGGAAAAAAGTGTTGATGATACCTCTTTATACAGTGATGTATCGAAGCAGCGGCTAAAAGATGGAGTGGTATATTATGAAAGTTTACTTTCCAAAAATAATTTAATTGCAGCAACATCTTCTGATACACTATCTGAAGATGCTATGCTGATAGGCACAGAATTATATAATAATACATTGGATGTATTGAATGAAAAAAAGTTTATAATTGATGATGAATTGATTTGTGCTCAAGAAGAGTGTACAGAAGGAAATTTTGAAGCAGTTAAAGATGACTCATCTGATGACTATGTACCTGATGAAAAAAAATATAGAATGAAGGAATATATTTCAATGGAATATAAAATCAAAGTTTTAAAACTAGCAAAAGCCCACCCTATGTGGAAACTACTAACATTACAAAAAAAACGGATGTAGTCATTTGAAAAGAATGGAGCATTTAAAATTATGGGAAAAAGATGTTGAACGTGGTGGAACTATTTTTGATGAATATCATTTCATTGATTCTTGGACGTATGACCGCTTTGTCAAAACAAGACAAAATTATAAACAAGTGACCACAAGAAATTTACAGCAATGGGCTTTAGCTGCTGCTAGTCAGTTTCCTGATTTGCAATTTAAAGCGTCAAAACAATGGATGGATAAATTCAAACAAAGACACCACATTTGTCAACAAAAAATTACCAAATTTGTATCACAAAAAGAAGCATGTACTGTACCATGGATAGTGACTTCATCATCAATACAGATCAAACAGGTAGGCCTATATAAAATTTTTAACTATAAACCAAGTACTTTATATTCCAATATTACATTTAATTAAAGTAAATCATAAGACTTATCATAATTTTGTTACATTTTCAGGATGTCAATACCAATCAAATTTCAATAGAACATTAACGGAAAAAGGAAGTAAAACAGTGTTCGTAAGAACACAAGACATGAACAAGGTTTCACNTGGGCTTTAGCAGCTGCTAGTCAGTTTCCTGATTTGCAATTTAAAGCGTCAAAACAATGGATGGATAAATTCAAACGAAGACACCACATTTGTCAACGAAAAATTACCAAATTTGTATCACAAAAAGAAGCATGTACCATGGAAGATATCTTGGCCTCTGCAGAAACGTTTCGTATTCAAACAAAACGATTGATATCAAACTTTGATAGTGACATCATCATCAATACAGATCAAACAGGTAGGTTTATATAAAATTTTTAACTATAAACCAAGTACTTTCTTTATATTCCATTATTACATTTAATCAAAGTAAATCATAAGACTTATCATAATTTTGTTACATTTTAAGGATGTCAATACCAATCAAATTTCAATAGAACATTAACGGAAAAAGGAAGTAAAACAGTGTTCGTAAGAACACAAGACATGAACAAGGTTTCACACACATATACAGCACAATACGGTATAACATTATCCGGAAAATTATTACCGTATGTTTATATTTGTTTACAAGAGCCTACAGGTAATTTTGGGCCTAGAATAAAGAAAAACGTGGAAGAATATATAAAAAAATATTCAAATGTTACCGTCACATCATCAAAATCGGGAAAACTGACCCCTTATCTCTATACTAATTTCCTGACAAAATGTTTGATGCCATATGTTCAGAAGAATAAATTTCTTTTACTTATTGACTCATGGACAGGACAAACTAAAGCAGAATTGTATGATGAAGTATTCCAAGATGACGAAAAAATGCCTACATGCACAATTAAAATTATACCACCAAAATGTACTCCGTTAGTTCAGCCATGTGATGTTTATTTTTATAGACAAATAAAAAATTTCATTAAATGATTACAAAATAACGCTGAACTATTGGACAAAGATTATGAAATTCATTCTCGAGAGGATTGCCTGAAAATACATTCAATTATCCATAATCAACTATCAGCACCAATATTTTGTGACATGATAAAATAAGCTTGGTATGCTAGTAGACTCTGTGATACAAGAACGTTTTTTACAAATGTAAATGAAGGTTGTTTCTCATCAGACCGTTTAAACATACCTTGCAATTGTAAAAAAGCAGCATTTATTTGTTGTTCTTGGTGTAGACAGAATTTTTGTTTTGAATGTTTTTATCATAAGTATCATTCACGATCATGTACACTACATCTGACAAATGATATGTAATTATATAATATTGGTTCAATAAATTATATTCGTTTTTCTTGGTTATATTTGAGTTTTGCACTTTAGTATTTTACATCACTGTATAAAGAGTTATCATTAACACTTTTTTCCTCACAACGTAAAGAACTTGCTTCTCTTGATGACATTTTTTGATTATAAAATAATTTTTCAAAATAAGCTTTACTACACAAATACGTCTATTCGTGTCGAAATTTAGAAACAAACTGTTAAAGAGTGGGTGAAAAAGAACTCCGATAGAAAAAACGCTCCTAGTGAGAATTAGATCGGTCACCGTTAGTGATAACAATTAGATGGGAAAGTTGACACATAGGTGTCAAGAATGCGCTGTTATTGTCAACAAAAGTATAAAAATATTAGACTTGGAATAGTAGAAATTAAATTAAAATAAATAAATAATAAGAAATAAATGAATGAGTAAATAAATAAATACATTATAAGTATTTATGAATTAAAAAAAAAATTTATACGCGAGAATCGAACCCGAGAACTCAAGCT